ATTCCCGACGTTGCTTTTTGTGACAAAACGACAAAGGAGTCTGGGAAGGCCCTTGACAAGCTCTTCTCTTCGGAACAACAGGCTTCCATATTGCATGTGTTGAATACAGCATCTAATAATGAACTCGAAGCTTTCAAATTACTTCGTGGAAGAAAGTCCCTCAATCTTGTAGAGCACAGAAAAAAGTTTGGGCCATTCCAGAATTTGGAGAGTTTAATGAATGTGCCCTTGTTCCAGTATAAAACTACCGTTCAGATTTGTAACTCCATTCTTTGTCCAGAGACTGATGCGAAAAAGAAAAAGTCACAGGAAAACCGGCTCTTGAAAAAGCTCCTCAAACCAGAAATAGAAAGAGAGAGACTTAAGGTATACATACCCTTTTTTATTCATGTCAATTATACTGTCTAAATATTTGAGAACCTACTGTGCAAAGAACTATTCTGGGCACTAAGACAGGGCTGTCAGGCAGCTTATAATCCAGTTGGTGGGTTCAGCGATACATATATTAATAGATAACCCACTATACAAAGTAGTATGTAATCGATACCAAAGAATGAGATATGCAAATAGTACGTGAGCCATTCCTTCAGAGGAGAGAACTGTGGGCTGTAACTGTTGGGGAAAGTTTACTGGGAGAACTCAACTTGTATCTTTGAGGGAGAGAATTAGGCTAGTGGGAAGAGGAGGGCATTCTAGGAGGCAAAACAGCGATGTAGAAGTAGGTCTGTGCAAAGTTTATTTAAAAGGAATGTTGAGATATCTGGCTGTATCTGATAGTTATGTTAGGAGTAATCAGAAATTAGGATGCAAAGATGAGCTATGCCAAAGAGTGACTCTCAAACATCTTTCCAGCAGCATTTAAAGTTATTTTCTTCCCCCTTTAAAAGAAATAAAAATAAAAATGTTTTTTGTTGATTTTAGAGAGTGAGAGAGAGAGAAACATCAATTGGCTTCCTCATGCACGCCCCCTACTGGGGATCAGCCCACAACCCAGGCATGTGCGCTGAACAGAAATCGAACGAGCAACCTTTTGGTGTATGGGACAATGCTCAACCAACTGAGCCACACCAGCCAGACAGAAGGCCTGTATTTTGTAGCTATTTGGGCTTCCAAAATATTTTGCCTTTATTTATTTTGTAATCCTCACCAAATTATTCTGCCTTTCATGGATATTTACCCATTCTTTCGCAGTAAAAGGGAGATGACTATAGAATTACAAAGTGTTCCTGCTTATCTCTGTATCTGTAGGTCATGTTAATGTATGTTGTCTGTATAACTGAAGGAGCCGTGTGGGAGTGAGTGAAGCCCAGACTTGGCACCGAGCCAAATCCATACATCCGGTTATCTGTTACACGTGTCCTCTTCGAAGGCAGCCTGAACTCAATACATTAAAAAACAACTCATCTCCCCCAACCTTCCCAAGTTGACCCACCTCCTAAGATCATCTTGATTAATTATGCCATATAGTTACTGCAATACAATTGCAGTTATCCTAGGCCCCTTGATCATCCCACATAACAATTTTACTCCCATTATCTCTGATCTCTTTCTTGTCCTCATTGTCACTGCCTTAGGTTCTTAATACTTTGTCATATAACAGGTACCTAACACAAATCCCTACCTCTAGTCTATCTCTCCTGGTCCATCCTCCACACAGCTGTCCCTGACCCTTCTGAAATGTAAATCTGTTACTCCTGAATGGTATATGCTTTGCTGGCTCTCTGTGGCTCTCAGAATAAAGCAAGTTACTTTTTGCAGAAATCTGTGTTCCCCTCTGCCCTTTTCCCACTTGTACTCTTTAATCCACTTGCTGAGCCTGAGGTGTCAAACTTTTTAAGTGGACATCCTGCTTACCATTTTACTCGTTCTCCTAGTCCTCCAGTAAGTCTTTCCTGACCATTTCTTTTCTCTACAGTGTAAATATTGTTATGGCATTTCGTACCATGTACAGCTGTGTTCCTGGTTCCCCAGCCTCTAGCAGTCCCCAGCAACATCTGAATGCCTACTTTGAGCTGTGTACTGAGAACTGACTGCTACTAGTTACCTTTTAATTACTCCTGCATGTCTTTCACAATTCTCAGTTTATAAACCATAAATGTATTTCTATTACATTAACTAATTTGGCTTTCTGAGTCTGTCACTTAAATTTTGTATCTGTTAAAATGTTTACACTTGTAATGAAACCAGCCTTTTTGTTTTAGGCAGTTAACAGTATCGTATCCATTGTTTTTGGTACTCGGAGAATTGCCTGGGCTCACCTTGATCGCAAATTGGCAGTGCTGGACTGGCAGCATAAAGAATGTTGCCAGTTGGTGAAAGGAACATACACATCATCTGTCTATTTAGAAGAGGTAAGGCAGTAACACCTCCAAATCCCTACCTGCTAAAGACCCTTGTATAGTTTAATCTACTGGTCCTGAAAAGAATCTAATAAAATAGTAAGGAGAGATTTTCTTTTGGTACTTATTACTCACCCATTCCAATTATGTTTTCTGTCATCGATTTTTTTTTAATTTAATTTTTTTAAAATTTCATTTCTTTATTTCAAGAAATGTCTATGTATCAAAGGCAGATACTGAAAAAAAATGCTAAAGTTGATTCTAAATGTTACAGAGTTTCATCACTATATTCGGAAAGCTTATTTTTAAATACTGACTTTGTCTCATTTGAGTCTTTGAAAGTTTGTGAGATGGGCAGTAATTATCATCCTAATTGAAAACTGAAATACACCATTGAAAACTGTTTCGATCAAAAAAGTAAATAAATAAATAAATAAAATAAAAAAACTGTTTCGATCAAACACCTCATGCAATCAGTCAATTGTAATGGGATTGATTTTAGGCTAATTTTTCTAACCCTATGCTTTACTGTAGAAGTTTTTAAAAGGTTAATAAAACAGTTTTAACTTGTCTAATCTTAAAGTCAATATAGATTTTAGAAATTACAAGCCCCTTTTACAGAAGAGGAATGTAGTACTTAGGACTAAATTGTTTGTCTTAGCTTATCTGGTGCCCGATAGAACCATTACCAGAATTTTGCTGTTCTGATTCTCCCATAAAATGCTTTTTCAATTACTTCAAAATTGTCAATAGCAAAATAATGTAAGTTATGTAATTTTATTTTTAAAATAGAAGTGGGACAGAGGGGACCCAGACAATAAAAGGTACTGATTTACTTCTGCTCACTTATTTTATTTTGTTCTTTAAAGATTTCTCCGGTCGTTTCAAAGATGCCCAAAGCTGACTTCTATGTTCTGGAAAAAACAGGACTTTCCCTTCAGAACTCAACTCTGTTTCCTATACTGCTACACTTGCATATCATGGAAGCCATGCTGTATGCCTTATTAAACACAACTTTTGCCCAGCGTGGCCAGCATCAGGTGCTGAGCATGAATCGAAATGCAGTGGGGAAGCACTTTCAGCTGATGCTGGGTGACAGCCGCACTAGTGGAAAAGAACTAGTGAAGCAGTTCCTCTTAGACGCTGTGCTGAAGGAGGAGCCTCGGGTATTCTTCCCGTCAGATAAGATAGTCCACTACAGGCACATGTTTTCAGCGACTGACCAATACAGAATAGAAGAGTTGTATGATTCATTATTACAAGCTGTTGCCTTCTATGAATTGGCAGTGTTTGACCATGAACCTTAAAATTCTGATCACTAACATATGATCTGCTCTATTTATTAGCTTTAAAGTTGTAAAAAAAAAAAAAAAGTTTTGACATCCATGTTAATGGAAAAGAAAACATGGTTTGAGTGTATTTAATGTTTAAAGTCAGATTTTTGGCTATTGAATGGTTTATACAATAAGCCAAGGCCAAGTTCATAAATATCTTTGTGAGATTTTCTACCTTTTAGGTTTAAGTGTTAAACAGTAAGATACTTCCTAAGCAGTCTAAATAAGAAACAAAGTTATCTTCCTTTAAAAGCAAATATCTATATTAAAGAACTTGCTGAAAAAGGGAATGAATTTTTCCGGGTGGTGCTCGTCGTGGGAATAAAGCTAAATATAGTTGATAACACAACTTGTGGAATCCTCTTCTTACTCTGTAAATAGAGTGTGGTTTGATGCACAACCTCCAGAAGGTGATTTTCATCAGCTCAATCTCTCAAGCCCAGAATAAACAAGCTTTGTCTAATAGGCTCACTATCTTACTTTGAAATCTTTTAGTTGACGGACCATCTTTTCTTAAAAGTAGCACTTTCCACATCTCTCCATTTTCCATTTTATCTGCCTTAGTTCAGACCGTCATTATATCTCACTTGTACTGAACCCAACTCTCTGATGTCAAAGCATTAAGCTATTTCTTTAATCTAAACGTGAAATATACTTTTGGGGGAAAATTCAAATAATCATAAATATGTATATATATAAAAGCCTAAGCAACTGTTCAACTGGTAGCCACGACGCACATTGACCACCAATGCACAAATATGGAAACATGGAACAGACAGATGAATCTCAGGGGAAGGGGGGAGGGTGGGAAGAGATTAACTAAAGATTTTATATACATACTAGAGGCCTGGTGCACGGATTCATGCACTGGTGCAGGCCAGGCCAAGGGACCCACCAATGAATGAATTTGTGCACTGGGTCTCTAGTGTAAAATAAATGGAAGTCCTCTCAGCACCTCGTAACTCCTTAGGAGTTTGGTATACACTCTAGATTTGTTGCTATGCCTGTGTAAACCTCTACACACAGTATATGGTTGATACACATAAACATATCCATCTTGGGAAATATTATAGATATCTCAAACTATTCATGTCTGAAACTATTCTCTTTCCTCCAGATCATCTCCTTTGCTACTGTTTTATAGTTTGCTAAATGGCCTCACCGTCCATTCAGTTGTTTATGCCAGACATGTGGTATTCTACTTCCCACATATTTCTAGAAATAGCTGTAAGTGAAAATGTGACTGTTTTAGACATTTATAAGCTAGGATATGAAGTATTGAAAAGTATTCAAAATTTGCTTATTTTTATCACAAAAATGAGTTTAAACCTAACAGGAATTTATCACCTTTAAGAATTGAAAAATATTTCCCCAAATCATGTTAAACCTAAAAAGAAAAAAGATATTAAAAATTCTAGCCCAGCCAGTGTGACTCCGTGGTTGAATATCGACCCATCAACCAAGAGATCACCAGTTTAATTGCTGTCAGGGCACATGCCCAGGTTGCCAGCTCAATCCCCAGCAGGAGGTGTGCAGGAGGCAGCCCATTGATGAGATTTCTCTCTTCGATGCTTCTATCTCTATTCCTCTCCCTCTCTTTCTAAAAACCAATAAAAAAAAATTTAAAAAACTCTATGGATTTAATTTACTTTGGTTCCTCAATTATAATTATCAGAATTTTCTAATAATAAAACACCAAAAATTAACAGGTAAGTAAGAGCTCTATAGGTAGTGAACTCTTGTATTCAGTAGAAAAAAATCCATATACTTTTAAAAAGATGCCTCAGGCAGGTCGTAGTCTCGTATACAGGACTGAACCTGTATAAGTTATAGCCTACAGCCAAACCTACACAATATCCAATATTTACTCAGGTGATTATATCTGGAACTCCTCTATAAATACTGGATAAAGCCTTTTTAGCTTTAGCCTTTAAATCAATGTTATCAATACAAGAAAAAGCAGGTTAAATAAAAACACTTTAATACACATTTAAAGCAGGTATACATAAGATATTTTTCAACTGTGCAAAATTAGGATCCTTTTGAGGAGAAAATGTAATTCACCAGATAATGTAACTGAATGTTAAGCTAATTAATGCAAACACTTGAAATAGGAAACTATTTTCAGGTATACCTGATTATATAATTGCAAAAATTATTTAAAGTGAACTGTGGAATTTTTAAATCTTGTAATTAAAAATACGTATTTCCTCCAAAAACATAACCTTCAGTGGAAATGGCATTATATAGAAATCCTATAGTAGAATCCTTTGGTATGTTTTTTTTTTTTTCAATTCTTACCCAAGGACGTGGTTTTATTGATTTTACTGTGTTTTTTTTAAAGTATATTTTTATTGATTTTCAGAGAGGAAGTGACAGGGAGATAGAAAAACATTGGTATGAGAGTGAAACACTGATCGTTTGCCTCCACATGTGCCCAGGCTGGGGATAGAATCCATGATCTTTCGGTGTGTGGGACTGAAGCTCCAACCAACTAGGCCATACTGGCCAGGGCTGTTAAATAGCATTAAATCTTGAATGAAGTAGATATATTAACATCATTAATATCTATGAAATAAAACACAAATTATACAAAAGTACAAAAAAATATACAAGGTAACTGATTTGACTTGGCAAAATATACAAGATATCACATGTACGGTTGCTAAAAAACATTAATGAAAACTTGAATTCATAATCTTGACTCCACTTTGTCAACATTCAGTATTCAATGGTGAAATATGCTGGAGGGCACCAAAAATAAAGTCAGGAAGCTCTTACTTTTTGTTGTTGTTGTTAATCCTCACCCAGGATATTTTTTCCCCATCGATTTTTAGAAAGAATGGGAGAAGGAGAGGGAGACAGACACACAGAGAGAGAAACATTGGTGAAAGAGACACATCGATTGGTTGCCTACCGCATGCGCACCAAATGGGGTCAGGGATTGAACCTACAACCCAGGTACATGCTTTTGATGGGGAATCGAACCCATGGACCTTTGGTATGCAGGCTGACCCTGAGCAGGAAGATCTTTTATTTTTATTTTCTTTTGGGGCGGGGGGGAGGATTTTACTTTTTGAAAAATGAAACAATTTCCTTCTTAGGAAGTTTTCTTATGCATCATATGTATATGTAATATTGTATTCTAGATTGCATAAATTTATTTAAGATATTCATATTTACAACTTGACAGAGTACTCATACTTGGTTGGAGAGGGTTGAATTAAAGGTACCAGGAAAGGGAAAAATTTTGGAGTAGTGTAGCATTGAACCCTCTTTAGAAATATCTTAGTGAACTCTAGCTCCTAGAAACAGCTCAGTTACATACATAAATACTCCAACAAAGCTAAATCAGATAATAAAAAAATTTTTTAAAAATACATCATAAATACAAAATGCAACTCAAATTTTTTCATTTTAAATATTTGCGCACTAATAAAAATATACAAATATTCTGTTTTAAATGTACATTAAGAGATGTAAACTTCCACAAAAATCAATATAAAAATGTATCTTAAGGACCACACAATAATCTGTACAAGGCACTGTTAATGTGGAATATTAAGGGAAGTCAGCTGCCAAAGTGTTCACAGTCTCTTTTGCAATGTTAAGGTGAATTCCTTCAAGATAGTGGAGGAACCTGTCAAAATTACACAGAAAAATAATTTAATATTAATATTTCCATCAGGTGAGAATATGAATCTTGACATAGCTATATAAAATGTTATTTCTATAGATCCTTTACCTTCTTTTACTTTTTCCTTGTTCTTTTAGCTTCTCAGTCCTACAAATGTTTCGAAGAGTTGGCAAGTATTCAATTATACTAGCTTGTCTATTACCCAGGTTGAGAAGAGATCGGCTAGAAAATACACTTTTAATGACTGCTATCCTCTTCCAAGCACAGCTGTAAATTAAAGGTAACCCATTACTTTTTGTGTGTAATGCCCCCCAAAATGCAACAATCCCAAACACAATCAGCTTTTGGTCTGCTTGTCCCTGTTTCTGATCCAGACTGGATTAACTGGATTCCAGATTAATTTTCTGTATCATTTTCAACCCATGAACCACTCCCAGACTGAAACATCTGTGATGGCTACCTGTTTCCTGCCACACCAAATCAACAACCCTTTATCACTCGAAGAGTCTTCTCAGTCTAGCCCACCCTAATCTCTCATTTTTCTTCCCAGTATTCAGACTGATCTCCTTCACTCTCATTAGAAGTTATATCATTAATATCAAGGGCTTATTATGATCAATAAAGCCCAGCATTTCAAAATTGGTAAGAACCTAACAATTTCCCCTTTCCCCTTTTTCTACTGAAATGTAAAAAAAAATTAAAGACTTACTCTAAATTAGCCGAGGACTGACTAAAGTACACATTGGTGCGCTTTTGTGAAACAGATAAAGTAAGGTCTTTCATTGGATCTCTGCCTAATTTCTTGCAAGAATTCAAGGTTTCCAATGCTTTTGAAATAGTAGAAGAACACTTAGTAAAACTGAGGGCTTCTACCGCTGCCTTTAATTCTCCAGAGCTTTGAGAAGTCCATCCATCACTGTTTTCAAGACTAAACTCATCACAAAGTCCACTTTTAACCTTTCCATTTGTCCAACTGAAGTCATGTTTACCAAGTTCCTTTTGTTCCCGTACATCAGTTAAAAGGGCATCTAAGAAGGACATGTTATCCATGAACTCAGCGAGAGAATTTAAACAGTGAGAAACGAGGGCAGAACATTTTTTTTCTGCTGGTGTTTTAGGAAGATGAGGATTAGATTCAAGGTTAGAAGCTAAACATTTGTTTAGTTTCTTTGTCTCTGAATTGCTTTCTTTGGCTTTGCTTTCTTCTGAACTTGAGGAAGAAGATTCAGGGTGAAGGCAAAGAAATTCATCAGAGAAGTCCAAGTTCGTGTCAAATAAGTCACTATCATCTAGAATTACCATTTTTTTCTTATGTTTCTTTTTTTGCGACTTTTTCAATGGCTTCTCTCCAGAATGTTTCCTGGCAAGACATTTCATATTTTTTGTTGCTGCACTGGTGTCCACACTTACTGATGAACCACAAAGCTTTTCGGTTTCTGGAATTATATCAACAGGTAATGGTAGGATGAACTCAAGATTGCTATATAAGAAATCTACATTCCGCATTTGGAATTCTGTAAGAATCTGGATGAGCTTATGCCATTCTTCTTTTGTTCTGATTTTGTGCTGAAAAACAATTTTGAGTAAAGAAATGTTATAACAATACACATTTAAACATTTTTCTACCCATATGAATATGTCATCTGTCTTCTATCTTCAAAGAAGTCATTACCCTTCATAATTTATTAACCTACACAGTCCCTTAATTCATCAAAATAGTATTATGAATCTAAGAACTTAATTTAGACTACTAACTTGAAGAATTAAATTCTTTAATATTCAGTATATACCCCAATTCAATAATTAGCTCATTTGTTTAAAAAATAATTCTCTAGCCCAACTGGTGTGGCTCAGTGGTTGAGCATCGACCTATGAACCAAGAGGTCACGATTCAATTCCCAGTCAGGGCACATCCCCAGGTTGCAGGAGGCAGCCAATCAATGACTGTCTCTCATCATTGTTGTTTCTATCTCTCCCTTTCCCTTCCTCTCTAAAAATCAATAGAAATCTTTAAAAAAATTCTCTAAAACTTTTAATCTGAAC